TGATTCTTAAGAACGTGATCACCAGTCTAGCTACATCAGTATGAGCTGTATGCTTGGTAGAAATGCTAAGTTTTGGGTCCTATCCTACAAACTCTGGAGGTGGGGATGGAATATTTATTTGGTCAGGTATCAAAGAAGCATATGTGGTGTGATACAGTCACTGTTCTCCAGCAGTTAGATGTCAAAGAAGAAGCTTGACCATAGTTACCAAGGTTTGGGGATAAGTATAATTTGGAAAATAAAAGGTGAATAGTATGATGAAAAAGATCTTTCTAAGGAGGGCAAATATAAGCTGAGTCCTGAATTACAGAGTAGTTACCTAGGTGAAGATCAATATAAAAAGAATAGATTTAGGGCTGGGAAGGTGGCTCAGTGGTAGAGCGCTTGCCTTGCATACATGAGGCCCTGGGTTCGATTCCCCAGCACCACATAAGCAAAAATAAAAAAGCTGGAAGTAGCGCTGTGGCTAAAGTGGTAGAGCGCTAGCCTTGAGCTGAAGAGCTGAGGGACAGCGCCCAGGCCCAGAGTTCAGGCCCCATGACTGGACCCCCCCCCCAAAAAAAAAAAAAAAGAAAAGAAAAAAAGAATAGATTTGGAGTGCTTGAGTGATAGAAGAGGCCTAGTGTGGCTGGAGTTCAGTGGGTTTGGAGAGAGAAGTCTAAAATAAAGTTGGAAAACGCTCAGATCATGTAGTTTTTATGAGTTTTCTTTCCCTTTTATTGTTTTATCGTGGAAAAAAGCACATAAAACTTTTCTGCTTTAACCATTTTTTTTGGGGGGGTGGGGAGTCGGTCATGGGCTTCAACTCAGGGCCTGGGCACTGTCTTCCTTGAGCCTCTTTGTGCTCAAGCCTAGTGTTCTACCACCTGAGCCATAGTACCACTTCCAACTTTTTCTGAGTAGTTTATTAGAGATAAGAGTCTCATGAACTTTTTCTGCCCCAGCTGGCTTTGAACTGCGATCCTCAGATCTGTTTCCTGAGTAGCAAGGATTATAGGTGTGAGACATTGGCACCCAGCTGCTTTAACCATTTTTAAGTGTTTAGTTCAATAGTGTTAAGTGTCTCCATATAGTTGTGTACCTATCATCATTATCAAGCTCCAGAACTAGAAGTACAAGTGTGTGGGAAACTTTGAGGATGTTTTTAGCAGAGGGCGCACATAACATAAAAGCATTACTGTCTGCTAAACTGAAGTAAAATCATGAGGGGAGGGGTTGAAATATGGAAACCCATCAGGTGAACAGTGCCGTAATTGAGGGGAGATAAAGGTGATCTGTCAAGGATGCTAGTATTATGGGTGTTGGGAAACACTGAGGTGCTTGGTGTATTTTGATGGCAGAGTCAATGGAATTTGCTGCTTATGGTGACATATAAAGCAATGAGGAGTCAAAGATGATTATTTTTTGCCAGTTTGAAGAACTGGAGATAAAGGTTTAAGGAATAAAAAGCATGTTAAAATTAGAACCATCTAAGACAAGGTATTGAATAGATAGGGAAGTTAGAGCGTGGTAAGAGGTCAGGTTGGAGATAAGATTTTGGGGCTTGTCAGCATATACTTAAGTAATGAAAGCCATAGTACTGAATGAGATCATCTAAATAGTGAGTGTAGACAGAGTCCTCTTGACTAAGTTTTAAAGCAGAACAGCTTACATGAGAAGGAATTAGCAAAGAACAGCTAGGTGGAAGGAAGAGTACCAATAGCATGATGCCCTGGAAGGAAAGAGAAGATGGTGTTTTCAAGGAGCAGGGCAAATCTATCAGCTTTATGAAACACTACAAGGCTTAAACAAACATCAAGAATTTTGCATGGTAGCACAAAGTAGCCATGAGGAGGTCTTTGTTTTTGTTTTTGTTTGTTTTTTTTTTTGTCAGTCATGGGGCTTGAACTCTGGGTCTGGGCGCTGTCCCTGAGCTCTTCAGCTCAAGATGAGCACTCTACCACTTGAGCTACAGCGCCACTTGCCATGAGGAGGTCTTTTTTTGGTGTCTTTGACAAGTTGTTTCAGTGAGTGGGTTCGGAAGTCTGGTTGAGGTGTGTTAAATGAAAAGGACAAGTAGAGAGACAGAGATAGGACATTCTTCATTCATTTAGAGGTATCAGGTCTATACGAAATGTGTTCAGTGTTTTAAAATTTGGTATATAATACCTCATATTTGTGTTTGTTATTTCAAATTTTTTTAAATTTTTTTTATTTTTGTATATTTTCAGCCAATTCTTTTTTTTTTTTTGTCGGTCGTGGGGCTTGAACTCTGGGCCTGGGCACTGTCCCTCAGCTCTTCAGCTCAAGGCCAGCGCTCTACCACTTGAGCTACAGTGCCACTTCCGGTTTTCTGGTGGTTTATTGGAGATAGGAGTCTCACGGTCTCTCCTGCCCGGGCTGGCTTTGAACCGCAATCCTCAGATCTCAGCCTCCTGAGTAGCTAGGATTACAGGCGTGAGCCACCAGCTCCCGGCTGTTATTTCAATTTTAAGGCATAAAACCAAATTTAAGTAATGAGAACTTGAGTGAAAAGGTATGGAAGTTCTGAAGACTGTCCATGGGGTTCTGAAGACATGTAGAACACATTTTGAAAGCAGTTTTAACTCAGAGGAATTCTGAGATGAAATTCAACTAAATGACAAATAGTCTTAAGAAGAATATTTTTAGGATTTGGAGGGAGCTTTTCTTGAAGCTTTTCAGATTATACTACCTATTATTTATGAAAGATAACCTGAGAGCCTTCCTTTCCTTTCATCAGATGCTCTCCCTTGGGATCCTGAGTGAAAGGAATGTCTCTATGTGGTATTTTTCCACAAATGTTTGGTGCCAAAGGGTGCTAACTTTGTCAGTCATATTGTACTCTCTCACAGGGAAAGAGTTTTAAAAAGTCCTTCTTGAAACTTTAGTTTATTTTTCTTTTTGAGTAAGATACTCTTGATTTAGTGTGTGATTTTTGTGTGTGTGGGACTATATCTGACAAGGTATATTTAAGTGTTTTGAATTTGAAAGCAGTCAACTCTTTTTTCAAGGCACTTATTTACAGCTTTTAAAAGTCCACATTTTTCTTCAGTGAAAGAAAAATAAACGATTATTCTTTGTAAGAGAAATAGCTAGCTTCCCAATTTAGAAAACAAATTTTTCTTCTAAGAAAGTAGAGGGCAGCCAGATGCCCGTGGCTCACACCTGTGATCCAAGCTACTCAGGAGGCTGAGATCTGAGGATTGTGGTTCAAAACCAGCTCCTGCAGGAAAGCCTGTGAGGCTCTTCTCTCCAATAAACCACCAGAAAACCAGAAGTGGCACTGTAGCTCAAGTGGTAGAGCCTTGTGTGAAGAGCTGAGGGACGGTGCCCAGGCCCAGAGTTCAAGCCCTACAACTGACAAAAAAAAAAAAAAGAAAAAGAAAAAAGAAAAAAAGAAAGTAGAGGGCATATTACCATAAAAAACTCAGATGTCATTATTTATTACATAAACCATTATTTTGTATATTAGGAAGAAAAATGCTCCATTTGCAATTGTAAAATGCTATAGGTTGTAAGCATGTGAAAGCATGAACTATCAAAATTGATGTGAGAGTCAATGAAACAGAATTTAAGCACCAGGAGGTGGGAATTCTGGGCCTGCCTGTGTTTCTAATTAGTTGTGGAACCTTAGACAAGGTATTTAGATGCTCTGTGCCACTGGTTCCTCACCTGTGTGCTCCCAACACACCCACTTCCCAAGATTATGATGAGGATAACATGAAATAACACAATTGTTTTGGAAATTAGATTTTACTGGAAAATTCAGAGCATTTCTTTAAATTTAAACCCTTATATACTACAAAGCAACTCAGAAAGTTCCTTATTGAGCTTGTCAGTTTTAAAATAGATTTAGGGGGGAGTTGGGGAGGGGAGGGAAAGCGGGAGAAAAATGAGGGACCAGATAACAAGTTTGGCAAGAATGTACTTATTACCTTACTTATATAACTGCAACCCCTTGGTATATCACCTTGACAATAAAAAAATGAAATTTGAATATCTAAAAAATAGATTTAAGTTATTAATATTTGAAAGCATAACATCTTGCTGAGTGGTTTTTATTCAATCTGTAAATCTGTAGTTTTGAAATTAAAGAGAGAATATAAAAATAATATAACCACAGTATTGTTATCATTTAGAATTAATTCTGAAATGTAAATATTTATCATATAAGACATAAGAATATCAAAACATAGAGAAACATGAGTATTTTATCACATAAAAAAGTAAATGAGGGTTGAGAAGGTGGCTCAGTGGTAGAGCGCTTGCCTTGCATGCATGAGGCCCTGGGTTCGATTCCTCAGCACCACATAAGCAAAAAGAAAAAAGCTGGAAGTGGCACTGTGGCTCAAGTAGTAGAGCGCTAGCCTTGAGCTGAAGAGCTGAGGGACAGCGCCCAGACCCAGAGTTCAGGCCCCACGACTGGACCCAAAAAAAAAAAAAAAAAAAGTAAATGAGTATAATAGTGAACATTAACACATGCCAGTATCAGTACTAGTGAAGATCCCTTTATGTGTTCAGTATAGATTGGCATTCCATCTTAATCTTTTAATATAGGATACTACTTCTCTTATTTCAGTCTTTAAAACCTCTACATAGCAAGCTAGTTTTGTTATAGAGTTTTTTATTCTGGGGTGTGGAAGAGAGGGCTTCATTGTACTAGAATTGCCTTAATCTGAATTTCCTCAAAATTCTTCCCTCATTGGTTTTGGAGATTCAGCTGTGGATATCAGAACTAATGACTGGCAGACTGCAGTAATAGCTAACTTATTATATATTATCCCTAGATAATTTTTGTGTTTTTTCTTAGGTTTCATAATAATTCTTCTAGTTAGATAATTTTTATTTTGTAGATCACGAAGACTTTGGTTCAGAAGTAGCTTGTTCATTAAGTTGTGGAACTAATGATTTTAATCAAGATCTGTTTTATACCATAGCTTATATGTTTTGCTAATGCTGCTTCAGTTCTTGCTAATAATCACGATCTATTTCTTTTGTAGGCAAAACCCAGAAACCACATTTGAAGTGTATGTGGAAGTGGCCTATCCTAGGACAGGTGGCAATCTTTCAGGTACTTTGCTTATTCAATTATGATATGGTGTTTATTGTATAAGATAGCCACATACATGGAAAATATGTGAATGATCTCTTAATGAACTGTTAACAATTTTTAGGCATGTTTTAAAGTGCCTGTCTCCTTTTCTCATGCCCATATCATCACAGGAATGGAGAGTAAATAGTTTGAATTGAGTCACTGCCTTAGCAGGCTTGTAGTATAGCTCTATTCATTGTAATCATTGAGTCTTGGTTTGCATCTGTCACAGATGCCTTACTAATGAGCAAGGCTTAGAATTACGTTATAGGATGCAAACTAATAGAAAGGGAATTCTTGGCTGCTAAACTGAAAGGAGATGCTTGAAACAGGGCCTTTTTTGGGGGGGGGGGCAAATCTCTACTTTGAAAAGAAGGTTGGAGAAGAGGAAACATATCTCAGATTAGTTTTTGGTCTAATTTGGATATATATTCCTAAACAACATGGTCTTTGGTAAGATTAGGATATCTTGTGCTGGTTGTATGTAGCACTTCTTAATCAAGATCTTTCTTGGTTAATGAAAAAAAAGTTGATATAGTGTTCTTTTGCTTTGTGAACTTTAACAAATATTAGGGACTCTAGGTCCCCATAAACAGACACCTGCATGTAGTGTTTGGTGTTTAGGAAGAGTGAGTGTATTTAGATTTGAAACTTTGAATGATTCCCACTGATCTCCTCAAATTTTCAGGTTCCGTTTTCATGTATGTGCATTGAATATTATGACTGTATTCACCCATCATTCCTTTTCCATTAGTTTGTCTCCTCCCTTTAATCCCTTCTCTCCTCAGGTAAGACATGCTTTAGCATCCTAGTATTCATTTTGTTAAATAGTTTTCTTCTTTTATAGTGCCTGTTCAAGTCCCTTGCCCATTTTTTTTTAAAAGTTCCTTTTTATTTTGCCATCATTGATACATATTGTTTACATATAATGATACATATTGTTTACATATAATGGATATTATTATTTAGTGCAGATGTCTTCTCAAAACATCTTGGTTGTAATATAGTATAATATAGTCCTACCAGTGTGAAGATACTTTTTTTCTAAAACAATTTATGTTTTTACCTTTCATATTTAGGTATTTGCTGAAGATTTTAGTTTTCTGGTAGATTATTAATAGTTAAGCTCTAAATTTGCTTCCTTATTCATGATTTGTAAAAGTTGGTTTTTACTAACTGTAAGGTTTGTTATGCCTCTAATAAAAACATACTTTATACAGTGATCAGGTATTTCAAATAGTACTTAAAAATTAGCTGGTATTTGGAAGTGATATGTGAGGAAAGGCTGATGGGAAATAATTCTAACTTTAAAAGACAGCTTTTTGGTCTATCAATTAAGGACTATCTTGTGACATCCATGGAAGAGCCAAGTGATCTCTTAGTTCTACTTAGAGATTGCATTAAGAACTCTAACATTGAAGGGAATATCTGTTAAAGATTTTACAAATAAAGTTTGGGCACACAAATGAAACTGGTTCTGCTTACTTTCTTGGGAAATGTGTTCAATTTCATAGTTGCTGTTACCAATGAATAAGATGCTACTGAATATTTGATTATAGACACCTTTGTCTGCTTCTGTTACCTTCTTGTATTTAATAAGACTTGTATGTTTGTCTTTTCCTGATTTTTCTTGCTGCATTATTTTTGCAATTTTAGATGATTGCGAAGAATCTGTCTTATGATTAAGTCTTTTGTTCCTTGGATCTGTATCTCTAATGTGTGCCAAAGTATCTGGGCAAACTTAGATATAAGCCTATACAGTACTAGTGTCTGGGCATAATCTTCTCTTTGAAGTTTGTTTGCATCCCCCTGGAGGGATTAAATCCCTGCTGTGAGAAGGTGGGTTAGAAAGCACTGAAACTACTTTATGGGTCTTTAATTGGAAGACTTAGTACACATTTTGTTCTAAAAACTTCTGTGGGAGTTTCAGTCTTACAATTTTTGCATACTGTGGTATGTTATGTTCTCATGGCGAAGAAAAAAAATATATATACTAAGGGTTTTCTTGAGGCATTTAATAAAACATTGGCAGATTATTCTAGTGTGTATTATTTTACTTTTCATCTTTAAATTTTCAGTAGCTTGCTTAGTAATTAATTCTTGGGGTATGCATAAAATTAAAAAAATGAACAATTGCAAAGAAGAGAGAAAAGTAATGCCTACTGTTACTATTTCTATTTATTTCCTTGTTTCTGTGTGTGTTTGTGTGTATGTATATAGATAACATACATAACTTTTTTTCCGAACTGTACCTGTATGTGTTTTTCTTGCTCCCTCAATTAGACCTTAAGCTTTACCTAAAATTGTTTATTATATACCTTTGGAAAAAAGCATATTAGGTGTTATGATCATATTAAGTGGGTATACAATATTATAGTTGGATATTTATATTACTTCTAAGATTCTGTTGTGTTGCCAATCTAATGATACCATTATGGTTTGGTTTAATACTTATCATTTGTGTATCTGATTAGACAAAAATTGAATTTTGAGTAAATCTTTTATCTGCTTTTTTTTTTCCCCTGATTCTGGAGCTTGAACTCATGGCCTAAGTGCTGTCCCTTTGCTTTTTCACTCAGGGTTTGTGATCTTGAGCCACAGCTCTACCTTTTGGTTTTTTAATGGTTAATTGGAGATAAAAGAGTCTTATGGATTTTTCTGCCTGGGCTGGCTTTGCACCATAATTCTCAGATCTCAGCTACCTGAGTACCTAAGATTACAGGCTTGAGTCACCCATGCCCAGCTCTGTTCTTTTTTTTTTTTTTTTTGTCGGTCGTGGGGCTTGAACTCTGGGCCTGGGCGCTGTCCCTCAGCTCTTCAGCTCAAGGCGAGCGCTCTACCACTTGAGCTACAGCGCCACTTCCTGTTTTCTGGTGGTTTATTGGAGATAGGAGTCTCACGGTTTCTCCTGCCTGGGCTGGCTTTGAACCATGATCCTCAGATCTCAGCCTCCTGAGTAGCTAGGATTACAGGCGTGAGCCACCAGCGCCTTGCTCCAGCTCTGTTCTTAATTAAAAAAAAATTAATTTCCTCTATCTTCTTTCCCTACTTTCCTTCCTTCCCTCCTTCCCTTGCTTCCCTCCTTCTCTTGCTTCCCTCCTTCTTTCTTGTCTTTTCTTTCTTATTTTGCCAAATTCCATTTTTGTATACTCTAGTTGGTATATTTATTTAGGAATTCCATAAGGATCCCAAGGGGGTCAATCTCATGCTGTGAAAGCTTCCAAGGCTGAATTCAGTCTGTGACCAAAGGTCTCAGAAGAGGGTGCTCTTGCAAGAGAGATTAGCCTGCATGCTCCCATGATCAGATGGTTCTAGCCATGCAGAAACTCTGGAATGCATTTTCAACAAAAGTGTCTCATTACAGCTGGCACCTCCGAGCCTGCTGTGGGCACTCTTTCTGGGTAGATGGGAGAGTGGCAGCACTGGGTTCTTCATGGCCAATCTGCAGAACCACCTTTTCTTGTTTCCAGTCCTCTTCCAGCATTTTTAGTGCATTAGCTCCATGACCACTTTTTAAAAGAAAGGGATAGACAAGCTGAGAAACTCTTAGGAGGATTTTATGAAAGCACTGTAATAGGCATAGTGCTTTGATAATTGAATTGTTCAGCCATCTGGGTGTTACACAAAATCTCTTTTAAATAATTATTTAAAATTGCTTTAAGACAATTTTCCACATTTCTGTATTAGTAGGATCATGAATAAAATTGGCATTTTAATTGACATTTTGCTGACATAAGTTATCTAAAGCCAGATTTGTTATTCTCAACGTTAGCTTTTATCTTACAGGACTGTAATTGTGCAAGTTTTGTTTGAAGCTGTGGTCACAGTGAATTCTCAATATTATTAGACATTAAAACACTTTTTAAACTTATATTATTCCATCTGTCTAGAAATGATTGTGTGTGTATGTGTGTGTATGTGCTTGTGAAATGCATACATAGGTGGAGAAGCTCATTTGAGAGTCAATTTTTGTTCCAGATTAAATATTCTTGAGAAACGTTACCTGAATTCATCAGCTTATTCTTTTTTTAACAATCATAAAGATAATGAATTATAACAGACTCAAAGAATGGTAATAAAAGCTGGGTGCAGGTGGCTCATGCCTGTAATCCTAGTTACTCAGGAGGCTGAGATTTGAGGATTGCAGTTTGAAACCAGCCTGGGCAGAAAAGTCCATGAGACTCTTTTTTTTTTTTTGGTCCAGTTGTGGGGCCTGAACTCTGGGCCTGGGCGCTGTCCCTCAGCTCTTCAGCTCAAGGCTAGCGCTCTACCACTTGAGCCACAGCGCCACTTCCGGGTTTTTTCTTTTTGCTTATGTGGTGCTGAGGAATCGAACCCAGGGCCTCATGCATGCAAGGCAAGGGCTCTACCACTGAGCCAACTTCCCAGCCCTCCGTGAGACTCTTATCTCCAATTAAGTACTCAGAAAAAGCCAGAAGTGGTGCCTGGGCTCAAGTATTAGAACATAAGCCTTGAGCAAAAGAGGCACTGGGACCGTGTGTAGGCCCTGCGTTAAAGCCTCAGGACCAGCAAAAACAAACAAACAAACAAAAACAAAAAACAAGAATGGTAATAAAATAGCTAACTTTTTTTTATGTGTGTATGTGCTGGCCCTGGGGCTTGAACTCAGTCTGGGTACTATCCCTTAGCTTTTTCCCTGAAATCTGTCACACTATTACTTGAGCCACAGTTCCACTTTTGGTGGTTAATCAAAGATAAAGAGTCTCCCATACTTTCCTGCTCTGGCTGGCTTCAAACCACAATCTGCATATATGTCAATCTCCTGAGTAACTAGGATTCCAGGTGTGGGCCATATTGATGCACTGCAAAATAATGAACTTTTATTGAGTTGTTATATTTCTCTCTGTTTCTCTTTCTCTTTATTTCTCTCTTTCTGAAACTACTGGGGTTCGAATTCAAGGCTTCATACTTGCTAGCCAAGTGCTCAAGCATTTGAGCCATGGCTCCATCCCAGAAAA